TCTCTTCTCCTTGCGTGTGTGATTCAAAAGCTTTATTTGGTATGTTGTTTACTGAATTAGTTTTGGTACTCTGCTTGACCCTAGTCAGTTTGGCTGGGGGCTTTGAAGGTGAGCATAGTGTGTTAATCAATCATACCATGGGGCCAATGCTGGGCCAGGTCAGATAGACATCAAAGGAGGTAAGTGACATCCACATGGTGCTCATTGAGGTCTCCTGACAGTTTTTTACACTCATGTGTGGTGTGCATATGTGCTCATGCATGTGTATGTACAATCATGTAAACACAATCCTGTGGGAGCATTTTCCCTTTGCTGCTCATGGTTAAAACCAGTACACAAATGATTGTCATGTTACACACACGTACATACTTATATATTTACTCACAGCAAAGGGATCCAAGAATGATACACCATAATCAATGTAAAAATCTGAAAGGTCATTCACCTTTTGTCCATGCACTTCATCATGTGTCTCTTTGTTTGGGATTGGATCCATTGAAGAAAAATGAAAAACCTAAAATTCAGCCTATTTTCTTCCTGATAATTCACCAAATCTTTGTTAAATCAGCATGAGGAAAGCTTGGTAAGTCAGCTGTTTAAATGCCGGTAATCAGCACAGTCCTGCTTGGACATACTTGAGTCCTGCACCCTTATTGCCCTTCCTTTTCTTTAAAGGATTTGAAACCGCAAAAGGGAAACTAACTTGGCCATGTTCCTTGCAAAAAATCCATGTCAGTACTGGTAAGACAATTTGCTAAATTGGAAGGAAAGCATACAGATTGCAATTTCCGCCCTAAAAAATAGCTTTTGCATCCCTTGTTACTACTTACACCAATTTGGAAGACAAGAAATGAAAAGTGAGTTTCTTTTGGTTTTGGGCATGCAGCAGCACAGTGGAGGCCAAGTTTTTAAACGCAACACAAAGAACCAAGTGAATGTCTTTCACATTAGACATGACAGTTGTGCTCTCTGGAATACATCAGCCATAATAAGCCATTTTTTGCATTATCCCTGTTGCCATATTCACACACACACACACACACACACACACACACACGCACACACATGCACACACACACACGCACACACACACACACACACACACACACACACACACACACACACGCACACACGCACACACTGCACACACTGCACCACAGTAAATCTTAACCATATACCATCATGTCTTTCGTAAGCGTTCTGTCTTCATCAGCGGCTAAAATATGGTGTATAGGGTTACAGCAGACAGGCCTGGGGATGGATTCAGAGCAATAAGATAGCAGTAATGGCACACCATCATTTAGGAGAATGTAATAAGTGAATATCTAATAAGCCTGTAAAAGATGCTTAACCCCTGAAGCTCTGAGGTCAGGTACGGAGATAGTGGAATAAGCTGATTAAGGAAGGTTTCTTCTCACGTTGCGGTCATCACAGGATTGACCAACTTCTGACCCCTCTGTTAAGAATGTGGTTACTTTACCCCAGAGCCGCTCCTCTGTCTGGATAAATCCGCTATTTATGGCTTTTGATAACAGCTTGTGCCTGATATGGGAAAGTAATAGGTTATGAATCTCTGTCTAGAGATAATGTAGAAGTTAATGGAACACAGAAGATTTGAGGTTTTACTTGGTTATTCACCTCTGCTCGATATTTGTCACCTTGTTTCTTCACTAAGACCTATGAGTAGTGCCTTCCCCTTAAATTCTAACATTTGAGAAAGTCTTAGTAAAAGAATTGGAAGGCAAACTACCATGAGTGTTTGCAGGCTCAGTATTTGACGCAGCTACAGCGTTCCTAGAGGGACTAAATGGTTCATGACACTTTACATTGATCCATTGATCGATTTGTTGTTTGGTGATTGATTAGTAAGAAGATGTGTTGGCTAAAATCCCAGTTGCTTAAATGAACTGCAGCAGTTGCTTTAGAATACGATCCCCACCTGTTTTTCGCATGATGACATAAGTTTATCCCCAAATGACATATTCAGTAAAAGACAGGTGAAATGTGCCATGCTCAAAATGAATAATATCATGGATTTAAGGTCAATCTTTGAGTCTCTCTGTTTCTTTTCACACTAAAGAGGGAGTGAAAACACACATACACACAGACAGAGCCAGATTCGAAAGCCATTTCCAGCCCGGGCAGCAGAGTGTGTCCTCATTACCGACTGTGAGTGTGTAGTCACCACTCAGTCACAGCTCCTGCTGCCAGAAAGGGATTTTCTGCTCACTTTTCCTCTGACTCTTCCACCTCTCTTGCATATCGCTTCATCTATTTCTAGGACAGAAAATCCTTGTCAGTCAGGAAATACAATTTCCTGTTCTTATGGTCCCATACACTGCCAGTCAAATCATTTTGAAACCCAATATTAAAAAGTAAAACGCGTCTTCTGTTTGTACTTTTATTTACTCTCTCTTCTAAAACAGAGGTTCAGTTGCCCTCTCCATCTCTGACAAGGTGAACAAAACTGTTTTTGATTATAGTTAAAAGGTTTCCCTTAAAGCTCTTCTCTTTCTGAAAAGTAGCCAACGATTTCCATTTGCCACCAGGAGTAGCTGGAGTTTTCAGTCTCCTGATAGAGGATCAAAGGCAGAGGGAGAGAGGCAGAGCACACGGGGATATTAGACTTAATGGCGACCAGATGAACTTGTTGATGGAGTACTAAACAAGTCTAAATAGCCTAACACTTGGCTCGTTTTGACAAAGCCATTATCTGACTCTCCAGTTGACCAACGTGAGTGCATAACAATATGTTGTTTAGTGTTATTAGCTCTTCTCTTTCTCCCTGCTGCTATCTCTTACCACCACATGTTTTTATTTTTGAAGTCTGTAATTCACTAATTTCGAGTAGGAAGGTTGTGTACTTAGGTAAGTGCAGCCCAGTAATCAGGAAATGCACGGACAATATATTCACACACTTCTTATACATTCACTGTGGTAGGCACCCTGTCTGCTTCAATCCTCTCACTTTGTCAGGTTGAAAGAAGTAACGGTGAAGTGGAAGAAACAGGGTCTTGGAGTTGTTGAAGGGGAAGTGGAGGGAGTTCTGTTGTTGGATTCGGTTAACTGTGAAGCTCTCCTCTTTTATTTGATCTCCCTGTTTCTCAGAAAACTCCCAATCGCACTGCAAGGAGATTTTAACAGCAGCAATATGTGTGTGTCAACATCAGACGAGAGGTCTGAGCCCAGGTAATCGAGTTTGGGATCATGTGATTGGACATGACAAGGGAATCAGGATGGGGAGCCATTCACCTATTTGACGTTTTTCCAATCTCACACACACTCAAACACACATAGAAAAATGCAGGCGTCTCCATTTTTAGAATGCTTTACCGGGTCAGGGCCAGTCAAAAAACAACATGGCTACTCCGTGTGCTGTGAACCCATCTGGCCTGATGGAGCCTCTTCCCCATGGTGCCGTTTTACATGAAACATTCTGTAGCTTCAAAGCCATGTTACTGCCTGTTCAGTCATAATGTGCCATTATGCATGGCATCCAAGAGCATACTGGAGCACAAAGGGAACCATATGTCGAGCACCCAAGTGCCCAAGGCTATATGTTACATATGTTACCTACTGTACACAAGATGGTTCCTGTGTGTGTGTGTGTGGAGGAAACTCTACATTACATAGCTCCAGCTGCACATGAGGAAAAAGGGTTAAAAAAGGGTTAAATTCATGCAGTTGATTCAAAAAGCGTAAGATTATTCATTTCCCTTCTCCTGCGGAAACAAGCTCCCGCTCCGCAGTGTAAGCACACACTTGTGTACACACACAAACACATTCTTGAACAACAAGTTACCCAATGTGCAGTGACATCAACATTCTGCTAATTCTATGTTTACATTTGATTAAATACAGCAACATTTCAGAAGTGTAGACAGGTAGAGATTAAACATTAAAATGTTTGTATACATAAAAAGTTTAAACCCATTCTTTCCCTGCTGGTTAAAGTGGAGATGTTTGAGTCTCTATCTTGTTTGTGAAAAAGTTTGAGGTGAAATAGATTTCCGAAATGAAAAAACAACATCAGGGCTAAGTAAGTATTTGAAGGTGCTGTCAAAGGCTTTCTCTCTGTCTTCACCCTCCTTCTTTCATCTTTCTCTCATCCCTCGCTCAACCTCCTCCCGTCCCACTCTCATTAGTGGTGGTTGTGAGAGAGGGGAGAACAAAGCCCAGACCTTACCAATCGATCACCGAGCAGCACTATCAATCGACTGGTGGCGCACAGGTCTCCTCCATCTGCCCAACGATTGACGGGTCAAAGATTGATGAGGAGGATTGTTGTGTCTCTGTGTATGTTTGTTTGTTAATGCAACAGAGAGTATGTCTTTATTTGAGATAGATAACAGACGATTTGATCTCATCTGGTTTGTCAGCTGCACAGTTTAATATGTGCTCAGCTGAAAAATAAATGAAGACTATATTAAAAGAACCCATTTCTGAGGTTTGTGTTTGTTTGCGTGTGTGCATGAGTGTGTATGTGTGTAGTTATGCACACATGCTCTAGGTTGTAACAAAGCCCCCAGACACTGACATATATTTGTTTCTGTGGATACTCTTTACCCTGGCACAATGTTTCTGCCCTATCTACCAGCAGTAAACACAAACACACACTCACACGCTCACATACACACCATAAGAATTAAATCATACCCTGGCACGATGTCATTGCTTTTCAGTGCTGTGACTTATGCCAATGCTCTAATGGATGAATCCTGCAGCAGTCTGAACAATCATAGTTGTGTATGTGTGTGATGTGTGTGTTTCAGTGTGTTACCTTGTATGTGTGGATAATTCCAAGGTGTTGTGCAAACATTGTCGTATTTGTCACAGCTGGCCAGATGACACTGGTTCCATCTGGAATTACTGTGCGTCTCTATGGGAGGATGATGCTGCTGCATTTGCATGAGAACGGGTGTCAGACTAACACCTTCTCTTGTTTCTCTCCCTCCCTCCTTACCCTCACCCCTCTCTCACTCTCCCTCCTGTTTCCACAGCTCTGATAGCCATAGGCCAGTACAGCAGCACCATAGAGACTGTGGATGCCGGCTGGTGTAAGGACATCACAGACCAGGGAGCTACACAGATCGCTCAGAGCAGCAAGTCCCTCCGCTACCTGGGCCTCATGAGATGTGACAAGGTAACATGGCTCAGCCCGATATGTCTGCTGCTGTCTGGTTCCCTGTCAGTGCAGTACAGTATCTAATGTATGTATGCAGCCATCTCAAAGGATGCTTTTGGAAATGTGAAAAAGAGCAAAATTGTGTATTTTTTGTTATATGGACAGCAAAAAACATTATGAGAATTTGCAGGATTAAAATAATCGTCAGAATAATAATAATTATCATTAGCCTCACTTTAGTGCAGTTGTTACCGCCCCCATTGTTCTCTAACTGTGGGTAACATGTGGTGGTTGTGTGTGTGTGTGCAAAATACTGTATTTTTGCCCAGTTCTAATTACAATAGCAACAGGTGTGCAATCAGACTCAGTTTGCTTGCTGATTGCAAACCTGTTGCTATTGTAACTAAAACGGGGCAATAATACAATATTGTTGTTATCAGAAAACAAAGTGAATTATTCATATTAGAAAATGAATTATATTTTGAACGTTCATATATTTTTATGAATACAATCATGTACCAACATGTTTAAGCTAAGCCACCACTGCTGTGCTCCGTATGTCCATCAGCCATTTCGGTTATAAAAGAAGGGAAGGGACACAGTGACCCCTCTCAAACCTACTCACCTCTGGGTCTGACCAACATTCTATCCAGAGTCACTCTTAAACCTTCATCTGGCCTCTAACCCGTCCAATCACCAACCTGATAGAAGCACATTTAGTTGTAGTGCCATGGTAACAACTCCTCCCACCTCTCCAATTGCCACAGTGGAGCTGCTACCACACAGATGCATCCACTTAGTGTGGGATCATTCAGTGTGACATGAGTGGGATGAGGGCAGACAAGGAAGGGAAAGTGAGCAGCTGCCTAACCCAGACACTTTAGCCTGTGCTGATATTCTACAGCCTGCGTTCTTGTTCTGTAGCGTAGTACACAGCACAGGTCATACTCCCAATGCTGGTGGGCCTGCATATGGTGAGTGTAATAGTATGTTTTAATGAGCCTTTTGTTGTTCAGGCCACATTTGACATCTGGGTTTAGGGCTAAACTAATTTAAAGCCCCGTGCTGTGCAGTAAAAAGTGAAAGTACTGTAGAAGTTGGCAGGGAAGAAAAGGAGGGAGTATAAGATTTGACTTAAAGTTGAGGCCCTTACACCGGGTTGGGAACTCATCATTTTCATTCCTACATTATAAAATCAGTGGTATCTGCGTGCCGTGGCCTAAGGATTGACCCTATGGATTTTTCAGATAAAAATGCCTGCCCGGAGATCGTTAACTGCGACAAGAACATCGTTGTATCATATTTATCTATTTATGCTGTAATGAAATTAAAACATATGAGGGTCTGACAGTGACCCCTATATGTTAGATCTCAGTGATGAAGCAGCACACTCAATCCACATTATTGCAGACATGAATGTGTATCTATCATATTTATCTAAGAGTAATAAAGAGAAACTGCATTACATAGCAGGTGATCACTTAGATTCCATTTTCATTTACTTCCCTTCTGCCTTGCCGACCCAGTGACCTATACAATCGATATCTACAGCCAGAGTAATAAAAACTCTGTTCTGGAATGACCTACATCTTTTCTGGAATAACAATATTTCCTAGTTTCAATACACTTTATGCTTTCATGCTCCTGCCCTAAACATTCAACTATCCCTCTGCTCTTATTTATCTTTCCATCTCTCTCTTTAGATGTGATATTCATACTCATCATTTTGCCGATGGAAAGATACATAATTATCCTCTCTCTGCTTTGAAGGGGGAAATGTGGGGATGACGGAGCTAAATAAAGCTGTCATTTTGTACTATTAAAGTTATAATGGAGTGTGATTTGAACAAATAGAAGAGTTTGACAGTTTGCAAGGTCAGGAACATTACCAGCTCTGAATCACAGATTTAATTCATGGCATGTTTGCCCCCTTCGACCATTTCTCAGTTTCCAAGCTTCTAAAATGTAGCATTCCAAATGAGTCTGCAGCAGTAGTGGTGAGGATTGGTCTGGCCTGTGTGGGAAAAAACCTGCCAACGGCTCCTACTTTCTTTGTTGCTGTTGTTATTATTGTTTTTTTAATTATGTTAGGTGTGAGAAGGAGTTACAGTACATTAGGTCAAGTTTCAGGAGGAGAAGGAGAGAGGAATGGTTGTAATGCAAAGCGTGCTCAGAGGGAAACAGAAAAACAGGAATACATTGTTAATACTGAAAATGTGAGCTACAGAAGGAGTCAAAAAGGTGAGGAGGTGAGAGCTGATGAAGATTGTGGTTATCTACAAGTAAGTCCAGGGGCAGAAGTGAACACTCATACCTCATCTCTCTCCTGCCCTCCTTAGTTTAAACCTCCTGCCCCCACCCCCCCTGCTCTGCTCTGGAGATTCTTCACTCGCCTCAGTTAAAGACTGGTGCTTCTGTTTTTTTTTTAAAGTTGTTTTAAATTGACAGCATTACCCATTTAGGCATTAACGCAGCTGACACTCCTCTCCGGAAATACCCACAGATAGGGCTGTTGGATCTCTTTATCAAGGTCACTGTGACAGGGTTATTATTGGCTGTTGTCTGATTTGACTGTGTGACCTTTCAACCCCTTGGCCCCTTGGCTACGCTTCTTCTCTGCTTGAGGAAGTCAAGTGACTTTAATCAAATGAAATTACACACTAAATATAAGTTCTTTGACCACTGCTTGGTGAACCTTTTTTTCAAGGTTTCACAGTGGTTTAAATCTGTGTTGCATGTTGTGTCTCTTTAATAAACCAAATCAATATTTTTAAGTACTTCGCAAAATGTGTTTTTAGTATAGAGAGCACATTCAATTTGGCCATGATTTTTTTCCGGGTTTGCATTTGACATTTCAGCCTCTAGCAAAGTTGTATCATGCTTTATTTGTGTATCACAGCAGTAAAATCCGGAGGCATGTCCAATTCAATCTCTGGGCAAACTAATCTCATCTCTGCACTTAATTCGGTTCTGGGAAAATGCAGAAGCTGGGGGATAACTCTCAATTCCACAAGGTTCCCACATAATGAAAGTCTTGTGCAAATTACTTAACTTTAGATTTCTCTCCGCCACAGCGTCTCTTCTTTATGTTGACAAATCCATTAGATTTTTTTTCCTTATGCCTCATTTTATTAAAATCTCCATTGTTTAGAATAAGATGCAAGGCGCAGTGTTCTCCATGCATACGCTTGTTTCTCTTTCTTTCCTCAGCCCAGTGTTGACAGCGTGAATGACCAGCATATAAGGTCATCTGCACTTCTGCAGTGTAGGACACATTTCCCCATGGCTCTTAGGTTGTTCAACTGTATTGACGATTACATTCTACATAAGGCAATAACGGGAGGACATTCCAGGAAAAACTTCTTCAGTGTAGAATATGTTCTCTGGATGGTATTTTCTTTAATTGCTCTCACACTCGGAACAACCTTCGTTTGTTTAGCTCAGCCCCAGGATCTACACACTTGAGGAACCATCTCAATATTTACCCATCATGCACCTACTGTCCAAGCCAACATACTGTAGCTAAGGGGATCATTGACAGTGGCCCCAACCCAAAATCATTCTGCCTTGCAAACCAACCATGAATGTTTGCTTTGCGAAAATAAATAGTTATATACACCTACTCACTGTGGTCTGCTTTGGCAGGTGGTTCATCCTTGTAAGATCTGTGTTGACAGTGTTTTGGACATATTGCAAATATTCCAAAGTTAATATTTCCCTTAAAAGGATGTTGCTTGGTTTTAGTTCAGGATGTGTATTTTGTAAAGAATTTAGTACAAATAACTGCAACACTGTGGTAAAAATAACAGCTAATTACCATATCACATAAGGACAAAGGCCTTCTCTTCAGCATTTGGCCTGCCTTAGTCTGCCTGCCTTACAGATGTTCAGGTAACTTCTGCACCCCACATTTGGCTATTTAAAATAAATCATGGTTTAAGTTTCTCTCTCCCTCCTTCCTTTTTTCCTTTCCTGCCCCACAAAGCTTTATCCCACAATAACTAATGTGGGGTTAGGTTTCAGACGGGGTCCTGTCAGTCTTAGACAAATACAGTCCTGTGATAACCTTGACACACAGTGCGGACAACCCAGTTTGCTCTCCGCCTCGACAGCTCCGCTCGGTCTGTGTAAATTTGTTTGGAATTGTCAAAACGCTGGGAATTTTAATGTAACAGCTTCCCTGAATGTCACAGGACTTAGAAAGTGTAGAATTCATTTAAGAACTGTTAACAGGATCCATCTGGCTCTCCTCATGTGGAGCAGTGTGAGGGATCGATTTCCTCCGTCACAGTTTATACAAACGTGCTTCCGTACTGTATACATTTTACTGCCAGGCAGCCTGACTTTTAAGTCCAATGCCATTTAGACAGATATGAAGAATTTGAGATTTTTTTTGACACAAACACAGACCTTGCACCGGCACAGATCCAAGTGTAGTTGATCTCAGAATATTTTCTTATTTAGACTGTCCTTTCAGTGGCTGGGTGATATACGGTTTTAATAGTATGGAATGTGTGCGTTTGTCCCACTGACTTTTTTTCCTTTCCTCTCTGCCTGAAGGATTTTCTTTGTGTCTCAGTGTGTTTATAGTTGCTCAAATACGATGTGTCTGTGTGTAACAGTGTGTGTTCTTTCCGAGAGGAATTTATGTTATTTGCTGTTAACACAGTTCATAATGGAGCATTGAAATCAGAACCCCTCCAGGCCTGGGCAAATGGCGTGCTCCGCCTGCCTCCAATGATTACACCCTTCCGCCCTCAGGGCCAAACGACACAGTACTGACGAGGGGAAAGAATGCGATTGATCCAGACTCACCCAAAAATAATCAAATCAATTCATTTCGTTCTCTTTCAGCCCTGCCTCTTTGGCTGTCTTTTGAAGTATTCAGCTGAAAGACTCAAGGAAAAAGTGCCTTAATCTTCTGAAAAACAGTTCCTCTTTTGCTCAGCAGTGCCACACATGTCATTGCGTCTGTCACTGAAAAGCCCGCTCCCCAGTGAGTCTGCTGTCAAATGTTA